CCTCTCTCTCTCTCTCTCTCGCTCTCTCTCTCTCCTTCTTCCCTCCTCTCTCAGCTAAATTGTTTTTAGTGTGCATTATGAGGTATGCGGTCTTGCGATGTGTTTGTGGGTAGGAATTATAATAGAACTTTCCCCGACTCATGTACCACCCTCACCTATTGTGTAAAAAAGTTCTACGTGTACACCTCTGGGTTGTAGACTACGACCATAAATTTTTGGCCTTCGGTATGTGCGCCTCATGGAGATGAAGTGGTGAGGACCTCAGGAATGCGTGATGTGTGGTGAGTGGAGCGTGTGGAGTCACCCTATGTGATTTTCATCAAACAAATGTTGAAGTGTTGAAGAAGGAGTCAATCTTCCCATTACAAGTCAATCTGTTGCCAGTGCACGTGATTGGAGCACAAATGTTTGATAGCTTTCCCTTCCCAGGTGGTAAAAATACAAACCAATTTATTCATTTTAAACTACATTAAAGCTTGCCTAATTTCACTCTACCTATCACTGTATTTCAATTAAGAAATTGAGCGTCTTCTTTGGTACTATCTGGCGATCTTTGAATGATTCTGTCACCACTTTAAATCTGTTAAATTCATCGTACACCCCACTCTCTCCAGATGCTGTGCAGCCACTTTTGTGGACGATCTCTAGCGCTTTGAAACTGAGGCAGACACTTCTTGGAGCTGACAGGCTTAAATGACATCCACGAGGATCAATCAACATTCACTGATTGGAAGAGTCAGAATGCAGAAAAAATGACTAAAAATACAATAAATGATCCTTTTTAACGAAATGACTCATGTCTGTGCTTTATAACTTTATCCAGATTAAGAAGCGCATTTTTCTAGTCTCGATCATTTTTACCAGTTCGTTTCTGTGGTCTGCACACCAAACTGTAAGAAATTTGTTTGATCTTTATAAGGAATTTAGCCCAATCCTTTTTTTGTATTCTCCGCCACTCCGTACGCTTTGGATAAGTTTGATCTTTTGTACCGAATTCTTACTACATTGAAGGACCACTTTGCTCACTATGGCTTTGTCAAGGCGTCAACCTAAACTCACGGCGCTCTAACCTCGTTGTGTCCTCCAATTGTCAGCGTGTTTTCACACCTCACGTCATTAATAAAATCGCCAAGTGCACAACCACCATTTATTTTTTCTTTGGTGTGGCTACAAAATGGAGGCATTCCTAGGCACCTGGAAGGTGGATTCAAATGGCGATTTTCACAAATTTATGCATCATTTCGGTGTCCCTACGGCCATCGCAAAGATGGTTCTGCTAGTTGGCTCAAAAACCATATTTTCACAGAAAGATGCGGACACGTATTGTATCGCTGTTTCGTCCATTAAGGGGAAAACAGAGGCGGCTTTTCGATTGGATCAGGAGTTCGAAGAGGCATGCTCAGGTGGTGCCACTATGAAGGCAAGTGTGGCAGTCCTATTTATTTATTGTTCAAACTTCACTCCTCTCAAATAAATCACAGATATATTTTATTTATGAGAAGTTGTAATTTACCAATTCTTCTAAAATTCCGTAGATTTTCTTGTAAGTACCAATAAACTAGACAAACCGCCTTTGTAAAAAATAATTGGAGCCTCAAAATGGTACGTACTGAGTTTTACAGAAATGCTTTCTGTAGGCCTCAGATCTTAACAATAACGTGCCTGATTTTCTTCATACCAAAAAAGACATGTACTTTGTTGTGACCTTGACGGACTTCTGCTGCCACTAATGGATTCATGATTACACTAGTGCTCTGACATTAGTCGTGTGATCAACCTAGCATTTAATTCAATGGAAGAGTTAAGAAGAAGGCCTTCTGGACAATAACTCTCGTGTCTTTTTCTCCATCAAGTCAAAGATCACAATGGAGGGTGGCGTGATGAAACACATTCAGGTGGGTGGGGGCGAGACCATCATTACAACTCGAACTATTAATGGAAATATAATGACTGTGGTAAGTCAATTTTTAAGCAAGCTGTTTGGCGAATCTTCCTTGCCTGTACACAATATGATCATTTTTAAAAGGTTGGTAAAGTAAGGTTGCTATATTTGCACAAATCCTACGACCATCGTGAAGCATAAGTGAACGCCAAAGAGACATTTACCCATTCAATGCTCAAATTTTAAGAGAACGTTTTGTACTAGAGTATTACAGGTATAAGAAATGATATGTACTACAATTTAGTTGATAAAAACTAAACTGCTCCTGATAGATACAAAATGCAATCATCCTCTATTGGTACAGGTCTACACTGTTGGCGATCTGACGTGCTCGCGAACTTACAAACGAGTGCAGTAGCTGTGTCATACCAATTGCAAATACATGCTGGTAATTCTCTGCCTGGTATCTCTTTTAATCTTCTCATACATGATTCAATGAAGACTCACCAAGCCTCTTAGGCAGTAGCAGAGATTGTAGAAGAAGAGGAAAAGTTTGAGCCAATCTCCATTCCAGTAGGATTGGTATTCGGATACGAGGTTAAGAACGGATTCTGGTTGACGAGAGTCATCTTCGCTGAAGTCATGAAGCATGTAGTCGTCTCCCATGGAATTTGAGCCCGGCGCACAGTGGTCTCTTAGTAGAGAAGGTGGGGAATTTATTACCACAATCGTGCTCAAAACAATTCCAAGGAGGATCATAAAATCACTTACTTCCAGTTTGTCGGTATGTAGTTTTTCTCCCTCAAGTACTTGGGAACCTCATAATTAGCGCCCTCTACCAAATCCCAAGCCATCAACCAGTTGGACTTGAAGTTGCTCCATTCGTCGAAGTAGAATATTCGCAGAGAAGTGAATTGGATAGGATAGCCGAATTTGGCTCTCGATGCCCACCACCAAGGCGAGTAGTAGATGTAGTCTATTGCCTTCGCTGGAGGCGCTGCGTCAATGCATTTAACAACGACGTAAAGCGTTATCAAAGCGGTTACACGAATTTGTTGCATTGGAATTCTAATGTGCGTTTGATGCAAAAAAAGTTGTCCTGCAGCTTCGGCGATTGATTGGTTATTGATTGTTAGTAATTGAATTAACCAATATTGGATTCATTAGGGTAGTATGAGTTTGAGCTATTTGGGAGGACCTTCTCGGTGTTGGAATACTGCTTTTAAGTCCGAATTAGATGTTCACTTTACTTTATGACCAATTATTGCCTAGCCCTCAGGCAATGCCAGTAAACGCCTTGACCTTCGGAAGGCCTCGAGACGCCACACTGGTGACAATGGGAAGTGAATCCGATTTTAAGGAACAACTACTCTGGTTTCCATTTCTGAATTGGAGAGGGGCATATGTCACGGGTGGGAGAATATGTGATGTCTTCTAGCAGAAGAGTTGAAAAGGACGTCCATCTTCAGCAGTTACCCTTAGCCCCGTGTTCGACAGGAATTTTAGTAACAACTGAAACGAGTAGCACAAACCATGAACCACTTAGTTGCCTAGGACCATACTTTAAAGGTATCAACTGAGTGAACATGCGATACCTCCTCCGCCTCTCCACTAGCTGGATGGAATCCAAGTAGATATGACTGGGCAGCTCTGAAGCGGGAATAGTGTGGCAAGAAGGAATAGACACGAGACCTCATCTCCAGAAAACAATTTTGAACTCCCTCCAATATTAAATAACTGCTTTTAGACCAGTGTTCTTACGGCCAAAGATGGGAAACGAGATGGCCAGCACATCTCCCCTTCCTCCAATACAGTTCCCGAACAGGACGAAACTGCAGATCCAGTGGATTTGCCCAGAGGGATCAGTGAAGTTGCGGTAAAATGTTTTCTCGCTTGCCTGCGAATTTGGAAATCGTTGCTGTTGGTGTTTAAAACACCAACTCTACCCTGTTGGCCAACACAGGAGATTGACCAAGACGAGCTTAGGGGACGAAGCTCAAATGGAAAGGGCGCTGTTTAATACTTAAGTGGTTTGTTTGTCTCTTTGATTTGGTTACGCAGGTACTTAAGGCTTTGCGTTTGTACTTCCACAGGACGGCATGGTCTCCGGCCTCGTGAAAGTTTGGAGAGCCACAACGTTTACCTTTTTCGTCATCAAATAGCGCTCAATTGTTTTTTCAGATCATCTGTAGTATCTATCACTTTGCGTTTAGGCAAATTGGAACCAATGAGGTATGCTTTGGTATTGCAAATTCACTTAAGCCGAAAAATAGTGAGGAGTTGCATAGGAAACAAAGTGATATATCTATCCTTTTTTGGGGGGTGGTCTTCAATAATTGTAGTCTTTGAGCTTCATGCAACCCGCGGTGATGATAGCGAAACCAACTGACATGCAGTTATTCAATCAAAAGTTTGGTACCCGACTGTCATTGATGTGCGGCAAGTAAAGAAGTCTATTTAGCAACTATGGTGCCACACAAACAATAACTGTCTCGCATTGTGTAACATTTACCCAAGCATGACTCTGCTCCGATCTGTCAAACACACTAGCTGATACAAAGCTTCACAAGGTTTCCCATTGAATAGCACCGTTTGTGGAGTATTTTACCCACTAAATTACACGGTAATTCTCACTGGGTGCCAATTTTATCGGCCCTTTCCTGGAGGTGTGGATGATGTTGATGATGATGTGGCAGGGCTGATGGCTGTAAGGAGGAAAATTGAAGGTCATTTTTGATTTTGAGAGAGAAATTCCTGACGTCGAGTGTGGACGGCAGCCTGGTGCAGGTAATGTATGAGCTAATTATGCTTGTAAATCAGGCACACAAGTTCCCCTCTAGTGGTCATAGATTTTTTCTTAATCAGCCAACTCCTCCTGTTCCATTATACCATCCGTTATTCATATCTTGGGTGGCTAATAGGTGGCTAGTCAAGAAGAGCACTGTTTGGATAATTCCTATGATTGATGCTTTCGTTCTGCGAGTTCTGAAGACCGTTAATTTATCATTCTCTGACCCATTGGGGAGTTTACTGCTCTCCTATCCTACTTTGCGTCAACATCAATTCGGCCAATAATTTTGTAAACAGAAAGCCAATAGAGAAATTCACATCATCGGTCACCGTAGGGGAATATAGCAAAATGAAAGTGTAATGAAGTATGTTTATTCCACGGAAGTCATGGAACATCTTACCTTGAAAATTCGTAAGCCTAAATCCGATTTTAAAGGGATTGCCATTTAACTTCTACTCGCCACCACGGCCTCCGAAACATGCTGATAGTCTCAGCTCTTGCGTACATCAGCAATGTATCTTCCGTCACACTCTTATGACTTCTGCCGACTTCAGGGCAGATTCGGGTGGCTACATATAACCGTCCCAACGCAATACATCTGGCCATGCATTTGACAGGTCAGAGTGTAACAGTTTGCTTTTAAACTAGAGTCTAAACTGACTGTATTTTGGGTGATTTGGGAAACCTTTTAGCACATAATTATTTGATAAGGTTCACGTTAAGGCAGTAGCGAAGAAGAAATTATTATTATCATCATAAGCGGGTCGCAACGGTGCACCGATGAAAGCAAAAAACTTTGCAACTAATGAAGATTTCCATTTTTGAAAGGGAAAATGATCAAAAACAAGGAAAGGCGTTTATTGACAATCCACAATCTTTTTCTATCTCAAGTAAATAAGAATTAGGTATTTTGAGAGAGGCAATTAAATCCAGATGTGGATATCCTATGGAAGGATCATGGAATACTTTCAAGGTATAATCGAGTTTTGTATTTTTGAATCAGCGTTCTGAATATTTAAGCCACGTAGACAGAACTGTATCAGGCATGATGCTTTTTTTTCCTAGAATTCGTCTTCGGCTAAGGGGAGTATGAATGCACGGAGAACGGGACAATCCGATTTGCAGAAAAAGTCAAGGAATCGTTGAATGTGATCTCACCATTTATTTAGTGGTTTGAATAAGAGCACAATTGCCTTGTATTTCAGGTGCATAAGGTGGACGATATTGTGAAATGTTAGACACATAAACAGCGTTTTTAGCCGACTCCCATCTAGGGAAAAGGTTTTGTCACCATGTGCTTCATTTCCAACACCACATCGGTCTGTTCTTCAGAAAGGTAATATGATTATTCGGCAAGAAGTAGTGTAACCAAGTTTGACTGGTTCGAGGATATATCCTTTTTACTAACAACTTTTGTGAATACAAACGGCTGGATTCAGAATAAGCTTTGCAAAGTAATACATTGGTTACTTAACCCGATTATGGATACGAGTCGCCTTGTACATTCGTCGAGTGGGGTGGTCTCGGGGCCATGCTGATACCGCCAAGTCCTACGGTAAGTAGAATATACACACATTCTGCCCCAGTACCATGTCTTCTTTCATATTCAGGGAAGTCTCGGGACGCAGCTGCGGATTTCAACGTCTTTAAGCTGTGCAAATATTATGTAACAAAAGGCTTGCGTGCACAAATCCTCTATCTAAAGTAGGAATTTTAGGTTTGGCTGCCAATTCTACTTAATAAACAGAAATTAATCGACTGAGAGAACATATAAGGAGTTCATATGGCTATAAGGCTTGATTACCCACTAAAGTCAGAATTAAAATCCCAGGACTTCACCTATTTGATGATTACCTGTTAAAAGCAAATAAAATTTTGTCGCAATTGTCCTATGTGACCTGGCACGTTAAGATATACAGCAATAACACCCAAACCCAGCGTTCAATATAAGCTCTAAAACTGCTTCAGAATTTCAGACACATAAAATAAATGCTGTTTGAAAAAATACATTCAACCTTAAAGTAAGGTACAATAAATTTATGGGATCCAAGCATGTATAATCGCGCATTATACTAGTGCTACTGAGGACAACCAAGTAAATTGAAGTGGAATGTGATTGACTAGACCAGTTATCTTGCAAAATTAGCCTTCGGGATGGGGGCTGTCTATACTGTCGGGCCAAACAAGGCTCTTGTCATTTCGGGTAAAGCGATGTTTTCATGGTTGTTTTTGGTGAATGTATCCTACCGAAGGCGCAATAAAGGGGCTTGTTTGTCATTAGCGTCTGTTTAAGTGGCTGCATGCGCAGTATACTCGTACCTCTTTTAGGCTTGCAGCGACTCAGTTTAAGGTAAATATATGCAAAATGCACCCATTTTTCTTCTTTGTTTGGTTTGTCATGGATAACCGACATAGGGATTGGTCATCCGCTACTAACATGCTGCACGTTAATACATTAAAGGCGGGTTGGTTGATCACAGCATATAGAAAAGGTTCTGCTGCCTCGCCTCATCGGTTACCTTATTGTCTGAAAAGTGCATTAGTATTGAGTGTTTTCATTGCTATTTAGGTGGATGTTTGGGTGGTCGTCGTGTTCGCACAATCATTGGTGGATGGGGGTGGGCTTGGTGTTGTTTAAGCAACGTCCAAACGTAAGTCACCTCTATCATGAGGAATTATCCTCATCAGGATATCCCTTGAGGTAATGACACTGAACCCTACTTGTAAGCATGTGGAGACCATAGAGGGAGTGCCTCTGACTGTAACTGGTGGGCTACCTTTGAGAAAACTTGAAACAATATAGGCGTTGCACAAGTCAAGGTTCTCTCCGATGAACACATTCTGGCTCTGGCTTGTGAACAGTTCTTAGATTTGGATCTTTATCGAGTCGAGAATACGGTCCTGCAAACATTAGAAGGCCATCTTCGTGCAATTCTCGGCACTCTTTCAGTCGAGGCCATTTATAAGGTTAGTTTCAAAAATCCGATCTGAATCAATTCGCGCTTGACGTAATTTGTTCACTCTCTTGTCCGTTTAGGATCGCGATCAGTTTGCTTCCTTGGTGAGGGAAGTAGCTGCTCCCGATGTTGGCAGGATGGGTATCGAGATCCTCAGCTTCACCATAAAGGACGTATTTGACGATGTTGACTACCTCAACTCCCTTGGTCGCCCACAAATTGCAAAGATCAAACGCGACGCCAATGTGGGTGTTGCTGAGGCGGAACGCGATGCTGGAATTGTTGTAAGTACACATCGGGTGATTGGCTTTAAGTCTCTTCAAATACTACGGGCTGATTCCGTAATTGTCCACTATTTTTATGCGCTATTAGCATCTTGCGGGATTTAGAAATTCCGTCAATTTTTAGCAAAGCATAAATTACAATAACTCAGAATTAGTAAGTTAGCAAATAAGCCTCGTAGTTTCTTCCCGTTTTCACTGGTTAATGCGTTTAGTATTATGGTCCCAGCGGAACAATGACCACTGCAATCCAGATTGTTTATTCTTTTGACTAATTCAAGCGTCATTCAAAAGCCAAAAAAGGAAATTTTTTCTTGAATAGCTGGCCTCAAGTAAGAAAGTGAGAGTAGCACATAGGTGAGGCTGGTAGCGATATTTTTAAAAGAGATACTTCTAAGATTTAACGCCATCACCTAAAAGTCAATCTACCAATGTGTCCGGATTAAGGAGGCGGCTAGGCTTCCGCATCTCACTCATTTACTTGTAACAGGTCCCTTAGCAAGCCATTACCTATTTCCATCTGTTAATCTGATTCATCAAGTTGTATTTTTCAGGCGTACAGCATCAAATGATACCTGTTTTATCCATTGCATGGTGCTTGAAGCTCGTATGTTGGTATTTTCTTGCGTCAAAATTGAGCAACCTAAAGGGTTTCATATCCTCAGTCTCATGTTTCTGGCAATTAGGAAGGTAGATCAAGTTCTTTCTGTGTAAATGTGTAAGTGGGTGGATTTTGAGATGCTAATGTGCTTCCAGCACTCACGATTAAGGTTTGTGTTCGTCTTGATAGCGAATTTGAAGGGATTTGCTTGGCTTCTGTAGTTCACTCTTTAAAGCTACCCAACTTTCATTCGTTAATCCGGTTATACTCCCAAAAGTATAGATCAAGCAAGCTTTCTTACCAGTTGAGGCTGTCTGTTTGTCCATTTGATGTAATTTACTTTTACTTCTATATTTTGGCCATTTTGTTATAAGCAGTCTGTAAAATATAGTTACGTTTCCGTTTCATCTTCCGACTCAGATTTCAGAGCTCCCGCTTCCTTTTTTCATTCGAGACTGTTGTTAAAAGTGCCTCGTTTCTCATAAATGGCGCTTTGAGTTAACTTGTGGAGAATTACTACCTCATTAGATAGAAGGTGAAAACAATTTTGGGAATTATTGCGTTGACGCACGAATCTAGTTATTTAATTTCCCTACTGTTTTATGACCCATTACAACCCATTCGCTGGAGTATGACTAACCGCTAATTCGATCTCATAAAAAGAGGTTGTTAATGACTTATCATCTAGAAGGCCCTTGTTTCATATATTACACTTTCATTGCTTCACGTGGTCCCTTATTTGACAGCCTCCAAAATTTTCGCCTTCTTTATTGTCCTTTGAGACTCAGATATTTGTTTTACCTATTACACTTGACATTTGAGCTAAAATGTGTGAATTTGCTTTCACAGGAGGCAGAATGCGAGAAAGCACGTATGGAGGTGCGATGCAAGGTGGACGCAGCTATCGCCGAGCACCAAAGGGAATTTGAGCTGCAAAAAGCTGCCTTCGATGTGGAAATCAACCAGGCGCGTGCCGAGGCAGATCTGGCGGAAGAACTTCAGGTGGGTGGCCTTATCCAGTGCCCGTGTTACTACCAGAGGTGTTGTCACAAGTATGAAAATGGCTTTACTACATACATATAGTAGGACTGAAAAATTGTTGTGGTAGTAGAGTAAGCGGAGCTTCACTTCGTCATCATGGCGCCTATGTAGTGACATGCAGTTAAAACAAATGTGGTGTTTGAGGTCGGTAAGACCGTCAATTTAGGTATATTAACAAATTCGCTGGCACGTGTATGATATATGCTCTCTATTGGGTTTTGGCAATTAGTCACACCAACTCGTGTCACAAACTTGTGATCATTGTATTTACTTTTGGCCATGGATAAAGTCCCATAACTCTCCGACTAGACTGAACCGTTTTAACTTTGTGTAGACTTTCGAAGATGATGAAAGCAACGCCTTGCGTTAGTGCCTTTAATAGTTCAGGGTTTCATTATCCAAAATTAGTTTCTTATTCAAACTTTTCTCCTTTGTCCGAAAAAAAGGAATCATATATTCCGCTTCGGAGCGAAGCCCATGCTTCTTTGGTCATCTCTTCCTATGACAAACTCCGACACCTTTGGTGGTGTGAAGACTGAGGATGAGACGGTGATATAAATTTATGCAGAAGGTATCTGTTAAGGCCACGGTAGTTTTTCTACCTCAGCAGCAGTTGGGCGTTTCCTCATCTACACTGTTGAGCTATAAGCAATATTGGCTGCTTGGAATCAGTTTTATATTTGTAAGTCCTGGCTCCAGGTGATTGCCAACGAACTTTCACTTTTTGAAGGTACAAAAGCGCAAGCACTGATGACCCTAGTTTTTTATTTTTGTTCTCTCAACCCGCATATTCTTCATCATAAAATGTGATTTCGTTTCCATATTCAATTCATTTTCTCCACGAACAAAAAGAAATAAGAGTTCTGAAGACATTGTTGAACCTTGCCTCTTTTTTTCAGTCTGCCAAAGAAAAGCAACTGATTAGGGACGAGGAGGTGAAGGTGGAGATAGTGGAGAAGACCAAGAAGATCGATATTGAGGAGCAGGAGGTCCAACGTATCGCTAAGGTCCTCGAAGCCACCGTTCACGAACCCGCGATGGCTGAGGCCTTCCGTATCAGTCAAATCGCTGAGGCTGAAAAGTACGCCCTCCTTTCCAACTTGCAGAAGTACTCTATAAGTGCGAAAGACCTTCAATTCCAGCCGGAACTTCTATATACTCAATGTGCACTAGCCTTTAAAATTGGAAATGTTTGTGAAACGATTCTGCTCCCCGTTCCCGCAGAAAGACTCGTCCCTTATGCAATGTCATGACAGGTTCTGCGTTGTTCACGCGCTCCACGCGCCGCAATGGCTAAAAGGAGTTTCTGCTGAGGTTGTGGGCTGGCAAGTGCTACAATCGAATTTGTCACAGACGTGCGGCTGTCTCGAAAACGCCTACACTACCTCAGTACCACATTTCAAATGGCTAAGCGTGCTATTGCCGTGCTGTGCGCTTAGTCTTTTGTGCGAATGGACCTTCTCAAGTTCCTGTTTTTGTGTTTTAATTCACGTGCAAGTTCCTTCATCATTACACTGCTTCATGCACTTGCGAGCACTATCACTACATTTTTGGTATTGCGAGTGTCACTTACCATTGCGTGTAGCGTCCCTTTTTACGTGTTCTTGTGCAATCCAAAGCCCCAGTTTGACGTGAACACCCCTTGTAGATTTTTTCACAATCTAGTTGTGCACGTTCTACCATTTCTTTCTCTCTCCTTCTCACAGGTACAGAAAGATACTCTTGTCAAAGGCCTCTGCCGACAGCGTGCGCAACATCGGCGCGGCACAGGCTGGGGTGACGCAGGCCAAGGGCGCCGCGGAGGCGGAAGGACTGGCGGCACGTGCTGCCGCTTTCGCCAACTTCACCGAGGCGGCGAAGCTGCGACTGGTGTTGGATGCGCTACCCGCTCTGGCGGCGGAAGTTTGCGCGCCTTTGGCCAAGACTGCGGAGATCGTGTTGATCGGCGAGGGCAACAGAGTGGAGGGGACACAATCCACCTCGGTTGCCACATTAAATGGTCTCGGTCGTGATTTTATGCGCATGTCGGCCACCGTACCCCCGGGCGTGAGGGCCGTTACTGGTGTGGATCTCACCAAGGTAGGCAAAATGCCTTCCCATGTAGCTAGTCACTTCTTTCAATTTTGTTCGTTTGCAATATTTGATCTTAAATGATTTCGTTCTACGATACTCACTTCGCAACCTGTGGCGACCTTGACCTGATATTTCATACCCCTCATATTTCCCCACCGTGGTCGCCTTATCGTTCGGCAGGCCAGTTATCCAATCCCTGAAAAAATCTGCTCCTTCCTGTTTTTCCTTGTTTCAGGTTATTGGCCAAATCCCAGGAGCGTCTGTGGCATCGTGAATGCCCACGCACTTGTTCTGTGATCACTCCTCGACCGCTTTTATTCTTTGCATTTGTTCTCAGAAGGACAATCGCCTATCCCCGCTTCCCTACTTGAAGCCTGTCGATTTCTGTCGGCGTACGCACTTTTAACTAAAAACTCATGAACTAGAGGGGGACCTCCTCTCTCTGCTCAAGGGTTTGACGGTCCATCACCTTGTTAATAGATTGACTCAGTTCTACAAGCATCGCACGGCGTCAATCGACGAATTGCAGCTCTGTGTCGCTAGGGATACGTAAAATTGGCCAGTGGGACGAGAAAGCTGCGTACTAACCGGTGCTTAGACTAGTGACTGCTGCCTCAATTGATGTTCCTTTTCCCGACTGAACTATGAACAATTATTAAAAAAGGTAGCACATATATATCGAAACATATTTAAATTGCAGACGCAGGTCTGGTGACAATGTCAAAAAGAAGTTTGTAAATGAAAATGAACGCGTGAGAGGGATGAGACGAGATTGGGGATCTTCAGCTCCTGGTAACAAGAAGCGTTGAGTTGAGTAGATTTGCGCTTGCCAACGTGGCCGAGTTATCTGTAAGCTCATTTCGAGGGAATGCGGTGTGCAGACCGAATGACTGGGACGCTAACTCGGGCCTTTGACTAAAAGGCAAACGATAAGACGATCCAACAACAATACAGAGGCATGAGTTGCTAGAAAAGCCGTCCAAACAACAGCTAGTACGGTTAAATTTTCGGGTTTATGATAACTGGTTGCGGAAGACGGGTGGAGCCTACAACTGCGTAAATGTGGGAGGGTAATCACACTTTTGGCCTAGAAACGCCATGGCCGTGGTTGTCTTCTCCCTAAGAATTGTGATGAGCGTGTTACGGCAGCCCAGTTTGCTCACTGATCTGGCCGATGTAAGTGAGTTGACAATTACGTCTGTCAGGTAGGGTGTACTGGCATGAACAATAACTGACAGTGACAGATAAGCCCGCCTGAAGGCTTTTGCTTAGTTATGTGAGATGGATAGCCGTAGATGGTTGAAAATAAGTTTGCGATTACGAACAGCGACTATCATGACCGAATAAAATATTAGAAAACTGGCACAAGAAACAAATAAAATGAATTGGGCTACACTTAAGACGAGCAGTAATTTGGTGAGAAAGGGGCACTATAATTCCCACCTGATTATTGCGGCGCGCAGATCCTGTACTGTGTGTTGGTGATTCAACTTAACAACCAACCTAAAAGGTGAGTTTAAAGGTGATCAGCGCATTCAACTTGTACTCCATACAAAAGTGTAATAAGAATAAGAAAAAAGGCTAAGTATACCTGGAGCCGTCAGGCAATCGAATTTGTAACTGAGTAGTCGGTTTTGACTGGTCGATTTCTGGACAGCGAAGAAGGGATGAAGAGTAGGTGATATCGGTGACAGCAGGGGGCGCATTAGTGATCACCTTGGGAGCTGGGTTGCCTAATATCCGACCCACACCAGAAAAGGCCTTCACTTTCGGGGCTGGGGACTGCTGGTATGGCTCGTCGTGGTGATCTTCCAGGAGGACATGGACCTCGCGGTTTCGTGACGACGAAATTAATTCCTGTGATGACAACATTAAGAGACCATTTCTAAACACTTGAGGCAGATTTTTTAAACATTCTTACGGGAGGAATGCGTCCCTGCCTGATAGCAGCCATGAATTCGAGGGAGTCAGGATCGGTGTAGGACCGGAGAGGTCCATCATCGAGACTGAAACCGTTATGCCACATTTTCACAACCACGGACTGGGCCTCACTTGAACCTTCCCCTTCCCCACCATCGTACCCGTGAGAGGACACTCCAACGCTCCTCGAAGACGACTGCTTTCCAGGCACCTTCACAAGCGGGTCGGAGAGAGATTCACCAAGGCTAAAAGTAAACATGTAAAAATTAGGTACAGTGCAAAGTTAGAGTCGACGCATTAGTGGCAACAGCTCACCGATATCCAGTGCCAGCAAAGGCTTCTCGATGGCTCGCAGAGTCAAAACCGAGATCAGAGACTCGAGAGTGGTCCAGAGTCTCCGCACCGCCCTCACGAGCTGCGCGGAAAATGCCTTGGACAAAGGACTCTGGGTTATCCAGTCGTGGTGGCCCAAGAACCTTGGCATGGAAATTCTTAAATCTTATCAAATCTGCAGACTTTAAACATCAGTATTTATCTTGTCACAGCCAACAAAATGCAAAAGTAAGTGAAAAAGCAGAAGCACATAAAATCACACCTGCTGACCACCACCTCCATGCTCCGCACCACCAACATAGAAAGCTTGTCCCTGTTCATCATCTGTTCCATGCTGACGACCCCTAAAAAAGCAGAATTTCAGATTTCAAAATTTGTAAGATTAGAGGACGCCTTTACGAAGGTCAATTAAGCTATGCTTGGAACTCGTGGTACAAGTAAATTGTTCCGGACACAAAATTAAATTACACTATAAACATATTTAGAGGGTGGTGGCTGAAGTGCCAAAAAGAAAATACAGAATGAGTAGTCATAACAGAATTAAGCAGAATAAATTACTAAAAAGACCACTCTTAGGCCCTAACTTTTAGAGGATTTGAAGAAAATACCAAGCTATATAATGCAGAATCAACTAAAATCAACCGTCCAAAAGTATTTAGAGCCTACTTGCGATCGTCAAGCGAGGAAAGTGTAGCTATCCTTGGTCCAGAGTTACTTTCACTTTGATGAAAGGAACCAGAGGCAGGAGTAGGTCGTGGTTGTTCTCTTTCACGAAAAGAGTTGCTGCCTGACACCACTTCCTGATGTAGTGGAAACTCTTCTGACGTAGAACCATCATCGGCAGCATTCAGAAGATTCTCAATGGCATCCTATAGTTATAATTCGGATCAAGTTGACACCACTAATAACAGCAAGTATCCCAAATGTCAGTTAATGAAAAACAAAAACTACTCTGCTTTCCGGCCGGATATGACAAAAAAGCGAAGTACTAATAGCCCCTACCCCAATAAATCTCGCTAAGAAAAAGGGGACATTTATTAAGCTATCCGAGGTCGGTAAACGCACGTTGAGATTCCAGTTAAACAACTGTAAATAAGATCTCGCAGTGGCAGCATCGGTCTGACAAATATCAACGACCTGTTCGACAAGCTTGTTCCGATCATCCTGACTCATGATTTTGAAGTAGAGTGCTATTTACACACACCTGGGATTATAAGCCAATCAACACCTAAATAAACAAGCAAATCACGATTGAGAACTTTTTGGAAAGAGAAAAATGATTTTAAATGAAACAGTAGTTTAGAGCAAACAAACTTTTTAGGGGCTAAGGGTTAATGTCTGTGCTGTTCAAATGTGTCTTTTATGTGAGGTGCTTTCAAAAAACTAATTTTGTAAAGTTGTCATATTCTTTCCAGGCAGGGGAGAGTCCAGAACCCAGACTCTCCCAAGCCTGTACTCACTCTCATTAACGTTGACTAATAGAAATAACCTCGTCAAACTAATCCTTTTGTTAGAAGGTCCTGAAGGCCAAATAACAAGCATTAAATGAGGAACGCCCTGAAGATAGATTATGGGACACATTCATCTTTAGTTAATATAGAAGAACTGAGTTTCTCAGATGCCGCATTCAACTGCTAAGTCGGGAAACATAAATGCCATTACAGTGGGATTCATCCGAAAATTCGGGGGTAATAAGTGACCCCACCGCCATCCACCCAAAACATCACTACAGAGCCCCAAGGCCCCCCGGCATTATGAGGGAAAAGTATGGTGGGTAATGTATAGTAATAAGTCGGCTGTTTGCTTACCTCTTGGTTTCAGTAAATGGTCACTTAGGTGCTCCTTCATTGTACATTCGCCTAGAGGCTTGCCCTCCGGGTCATGCTATGCCCTTCTAAGGTTTACAATATATATTCTGCCTGAGAATTATATCTTTTCTCGTATTTAGGAAGATTTCAGGGTGCATTACATGTGTTGCTAACACACAAGTGTTGGGTCGCTACTAGCCTGACTCGAAGCCCACATCGCCGTGCGGATACAGGCTCTTGCATATCAAAGGGTAGACGTATTTGAACAAACTAGCAAAGTGCTGCATAATATGAAGACTCTTTACAAAAATGCGCTTCGTTGAAACCAATTCCGGAGCAAGAGCAGTTCTACTTGTATTCTAGTTTGACAATGACGTAAATATCCTATGAAATTAGAAAAAAATCCTGATGATGATAGACTCCTTTAGGAAGTATTCATCAGAAAAAACTGTTTTCTACGTTGTATACAATCTTTTTTCCTTCAGCTCTTCTCTGCTGCTACAGTTTTATTCTTTGTTGCTCAAGCACCTTTGACACTTTTCGCACCTAAGTTTAACATCACAAACCTGCGTCAATGAAAGTGATGCATGCTGTTTTCACTCGCCCATTTGTGCTATACAACCCGGAATAATGTACGTAAAAAGTGCTAGGAAAACAGCTGTGTTCAATTTAACATTAAAATCTACCTAAGCGCAAACACTAGTACCCGTTCCCTTTTACGTGCATAACAATTGCAAAAGGGCTGTATTCGGTCACTTCGACTTTGGGGACTGAAAATGCATTTGAACTATAGCTCTTTCAGTCAGGCACTTCGAATAACTTGCTTGCCAAGTCATTTAACCTACTCCCTCTGACTGGATTATCTCTTCATGCCCTGGATATTGTACTAATATTGGAACCTCGTAGCCGCGGTGAGTGGGAAATCGCCGAGGCAACACAGCTTCGCCTTGCGCAACGAAATGTCGCACACACGCGTCTTGTGCGCATTCATTTGCGTAAGCGGCAGCGAAACCGACAGACAAGCCTTTTGCGAAAACACGCAATCCCCCTCCATCTATCATAGGGTGCTTCTTTCGAAGTAGGCTGTTAGACACCGTAAATCCACCTCCCAACCCACCAATTTCTTAGACGAAAAAATGTTCCTTTTGGCCTGCTCAGTAATCACGTAAATAAAAAAGACCTCAACTAAAGAAGGGGGCATAATCCAACTATTTAGCTGAAGGCATTGCGCACGAGCTAGCTGCATGCTACCGTCAGGTCCATCGGTTGCCTGTGGAAGACTTCCTGGCACTAATTCACAAAACATTTGTGACAAGGCTACCTCACAATTTGGAGATTACCTTGGTATGCTGGGTCTTAAATTCATGGCTTCCATTTTTGGCCTCCCCTACCATATCCTCCTGAGGAAAATGATGCTCTCCATACTAGTGGAAAATGAGGAACTCTAGTTATTTTAATATTTCTGATTTCAAGTGAAAGTAAGCACTGACAGATATTTAATTCACCTAGTCTACGTTGGGGAGATATTATAAGCATTGCATTACTGAAAGGTGAAATGATAACTCATTTGACATGCTTTCGGAGGTGAACCAGTTGAAGTAAAGCAACCTCACGAAAACTCGGTCTGAGTTGGCTGTTGAACAGCTGCGCTCAAACATAACTTTCTCCTAGTTTCACGGAGTTCAAGAAGTGTTAAAGTCAAGGAATTAATGCTGAAGCGACTTAAATCGGTGATGAGACAACTAATAGGGAAATCCATCCTCCATCGAGCGTAAGAGCTGAAATAATCAGGTTGGGAGCCTCTCATCTCCTATCGAGGAAACTGACACTTTTGATTGAAGACTCTGAGTACATGACCATCATATTTTATTTAAATTTCCTTTACATTAATCTCCCATAGTTAAAAATAATTCAAATTTTCTGCAAAAAACTGCGCATTTCATCCATTTTTTGTCTTTTATCGTAGCGCCCCGAGGCATCCCTAAAGACAAAAGACGACATAGTACTCGGGCGTGATATGCATTGTTAATGTTCAGAGGGGCTGAGGAGGCCTAGTGACACGCCTTGGAGGCCAGGTCGCCAGACGGAGGTACAATAGCGAAGCCCACGCCCGCCCCCTCCCCTCGTAGCCCATTACCAAAACCAAGAGGCAGACAAAGCACTACACCCATGTCTACCTCAGTGCTTTGTCTTTAATAGAAAAGATCCAGTCAATAGCTCCTTCCGCAGGGAAGTATGACTAACAATGGGCAACTGTGACACCCGCTTTAAGACGAACATACAAACTCACTTTAAAAGAGTGGCTGGACCTCGCGAACCACAATAGCCAAATCTCACATCATGAAAGGATTTGTAGCAAAGTTGTTAGATTTTTGGCGTTCATTTCGCGCTCCCTACTAGAGACACACGTAGCACTCCCCGGCGATCTGATACGTTGTTTAACCACGCAGTTTTACTTCTACTTGACAAAGTGGTCCCCAGCCACCCCTGCACCCTTCAGCGTAAACTAATAGTAAACCTTTCTCCGAACTGGTATAGCTTACTACAACTTCAGAGATGTCCAGGTCACTAGGGCTGAAACAAGGAGAAAGTGGCCGATTTTCAGTGGTTAAATCGCAGTCTTGACTTATCTCGGTTCTGTAGTACAAGTGGTTGATGACACACTGCTGACTGGAGAGTAGTAACGAGGAGCGCGTTTTACGTGCGAGAGCGAAAGCTGAAGGCAGCCTCATCAAAGGAATGCGGAGGCGACTTAACCAGGGGGCGCCGACAAAGCCGGTATCACAGCACAACAATGACAACCATTCCGCTGATTTTGATTTCGAGTCAAATAACAAAAAAGAATACGGATAGGAGAGAAACACGCTCGAGTTTAAGCACATGTAGAGCAAAACAATTTGATGTGATACAAAAGGCTAGCAACTTCATGAAAAGTATAGCTTCAGACTGCACTGGCGGTTCTGACCGAATGCTTATCCAAGACTAAGAGCGTGATATAAGTAGCTTCCCACCAAAAGTTAGCAGAGACTCCAATTCTGCCGCAATACATAACTCGCCTTCATTCTCATTCACCGTGAGTCAATATGCATTTATTTTCAAAAAGTAGAATGAGTATTAAAAAGCAAAGCCACATTATGTGTGTGTGTATGCAGGAGTATAAAATGGTAAGTTGTTTTTGCTGTTTAATGCGATAACAATGCTGCATTTAACTAAACCGGGTTAAGGCGAGGGCATGCATTTGAGTCGATCGAAAGCAGCCTTCTCCAGGGATTCCCTGAAACAATAACAAGTGATTACCTAATATTGCATCATTTATGGGATTTTCAACGATATTTAGATGCTACTAATACTCGAAAATCGGCTCCCAAAAGAGCGCAGATACCAATCATGAAACAAGTAGTCTTCTATGGGCTTAAATTTGTAAGAGCATTCTTGTAGGATCGTCCGTTAGAGGAATAATTGCCAGACTGTTCAGACTGAAACAGGGGCCAATTACCTGAAGTCAGGGTGCGCAATCTGGATGAGAGCATGTGCCCTCTGACGAAGGTTCTTTCCAAAGAGATAGGCAATTCCGTACTCTGTGACAACATAGTGTACATGAGCACGAGTGGCGACAACCGTTGTGCCTCGCGACAAGAAGGGTACGATTGTCGATTTGCCTTCATCATTCAACGAGGTCATAGCAATGACTGGCTTGCCAGCTCCATCGGAGGCAATGGAGGCGCCGCGGAGGAAATCAATTACACCACCGACACCTAAAACGACGAATTATAAAAAAAGAAAAGCACAAGTATTTAACAACAACTATCGTGCAAATCTAACCAGTCCTAGCAATATCATAAAAAAAAGGAATATTTTACGATAACGGTAGTTAGAAGAGTAACTAGAAAGTTGACAGTTTAAAAGCGTTTTTAGACCTGGGTGCTATAAAGGCGTAGAGGCTCCAGATCTCAAATAGAAACACCTCAGAAGTGTAGAAACCAAGAGTTAATAATCACAGAGGACCGAGAAACTCCACAACACAGCATCACATTTGAGTCGATAGTGATCTTCGGAGCAGACGTACCAGTATAAATTTGACCGTCGTAGCCATCTGAAGAACTCTGGCCGGAAAGATCCATCTCAAATGCATGGTTGATGGCTGTGACCTTGGGATTGAGGGCGATCAACTCTGGTGCGTTCACCCACGCGATGTCATACAGAGCTAAGTACACAAAAGCCTAATATTACTGCTCTTCTACTCTGGTCTAACTGTTTTCTACAAAAGGCCCGAACCTACCGACGAGAGGATTTTCGTTGATAAAATTGAATGTCTTTTTCGTTCCGATAACGTAGCTAGCTACAATACGACCACGATGGATGGCCTTTAAACGGTTGTTGATAACACCGAGATGAACCAGATCAATTTCCCCATCACCGAAACATTCGGTATGGATACCGAGGTCCTTGTGACTTCGCAATTGGGTAGTCAACTGTTGCGAAATATTCGAAGGGGCTTTAGAAAGACAGAGTGGGTCAGCGAACTCAACAAATTTTACCCAATCCTTATCAGTAACACAGTAATGAAAACAACATCAAGCATATAGTAAATTGTCACCCCGTAATTAAATCCACGTAGCTAAGTACTTCGGCATTTCCAAGATCAAAAGCATGTTACAGGTTATAAAAAAAAAACAGTAATTGCAAGATATACAACAAGTAAGTTACAGAGCTGTAGGGTAGCCCCATCGTCAACGAGATTATCAGCGATAATGTTTGCAACTTTTCTTTCCATGGGAGATATAGCCTTCCAGCTGGTTTCCAGTAATTGTTGAGGTCCATTTACAAGATAATCAATTTTGCTGACATGAATAGTCGAATCACCATAGGTCACCGGTTGCATTGGGTTTACTTGAGCTGAGTAGAATAGAGCAGATGAGCGAATCCTTTAACATACCAATGATCCTCTTGGCGCTTTGAATAGCAGACCTCGCAGTTCCCACGAAGGTCCCGAGAGAACAAAACCCATGTTTGTCAGGGGGAGTCACGGATATTAAGGCGTAATCAAGGTTAACGTGTTTCTGACGATAGAGAAGGGGCATCTCTGATACGGATATCGGAATAAAATCCGCTCTCCCATCATTCACCGCCTCACGACAATACTTGTCTTTAATTGGTGAATAAAACACATTTGAGCTTACTAGCTAAAGGGGTAGTGAGTCGAAGTTTGTCTCGAATGTCGTCGATAAGAGAACCTAGGGGAGCCATTGGAAGCAGAGAAAGAACATTTAAGTTCTTGAGGTCAGTAGACTTAACATGCTGGTACAAAAAGGATAACAATACACCCGGTGTTCCCGAAGCACCATGAACAAATATGCTGTCACCACTTTTAAGGTCCTTAAATATTTCACTGCTCGTTTCCGACCAAATGGGATGCCGACCTGGAATGGGAGCGTTTGGTTCCTGCAAGCCAGGCATCCAACTAATTTTCACGGTATCAAGCGAAGCAAAGCGTCGGAAAGATGGGAACATAAGCCCATAACTCTTGCTCAGCGCAGATACCAGCATCTGACAATGGTCACCTAAAAAAGCCGGAAACAGAGGAATACAGCGCCACCCCTCAACCAAGGTTGTGGAAATCGAGAGCCTCCCAGTCTAATCATTGAAAACAAACAAAAATATATGGCTGTATCTAAATTATTCATTTAATTTATTTAGTTTTTAATAAGGCAATATTTTTCAAGCAAATGTTAATAGTATCGGCGGTCTTTACTGGCCTCAATAATTAAAATTTACCAAACTAAAGCAAGAAACCACTCATAATAATTCTGAAGGTTCAATGTAACATTTGTAAATATGATTGCTTTTGGAACATCTGCAAAGTGAGAAGCAATGAAGTCCCTACAACTTTTTGTAATGTCGTCTTTATTAAGAATCCATAGACGCCAATAATCACATTGGTTGATATACGTGGCCTGCTATATAATAAATTCAGGCATTACAGGACCACCTTTGCTTAAACTTTTTTATTCTGTGCATAGCTATGTGATAAGTATATCGTCTGTCTCTTCCTCCTTGCTTTCATACCCTTAGACCGAGTCAACGAACGAGATGGAGACATGCTTTACTGAGTCGCAATAACACAGAAGGGAATAGATGTTTTAATCTAAGCCTGCTCGGGGACCGATAGCATCTAATCTAAACAAGGTTTGCACTATCTATTCACCTTTTGCTTAAAAAGGCACAATTAAACAAATCCATTACATGGACCCCTTGTCTATTTGAGCACTGTCCTAGGGGCTCCTCTTATGAGTGACAACCGTGTAGCGTAGTTTTGCTAGTCTTCCCTCTTCCATTATTGTGTAATCTCCGTCTTATTTTTTAATTGGAGGTGTTTCTTTGCATAGGCGCATCCTATTGTGATGAAAGATAATGGGTTAGGTAAGGAGTTGTGTACTGCAAGCGAGGAAGTTCGCTGGTTAAGGGCCTTTCATCGCCCGTAATGCATCTTTGCTCCACGCGTGGTAGAGCTTGCGGTGCATTCTAGGTTGAGAAACAGACCTGTGTATTTGTACTAGGGTCTCCTTCTCAGTAGACGTTGGGCTGACTATGTTTGCCATAAAAGATCCTCTGTCTGAGATATGGTAGTTGTAATTATTCTCGAGCGATATTAAAATCTCGCCTCATCCCTTCTTTCAGACGCATTAGCAATAAAAATTGCAAAAGGTACTCTCAAATCATGACACGTAGGCATCTTGAACGACAAAACACCTGTTAGTGTGTGAGATGTAGCCCTATATGCGAGAGAGTACTGTTGAAAGTTTAGGTCCATGTGCTCCGGTTGTAGACCCTTAGTCGAAACCTTTGCAAGTCTAATCAAATTGTGATTTATTTTTTTCACCTAACCACTGCCTTGCACTTATCGAGGTGTCATGCACGTCTTTGAGATCCGAAGAGTCCTATGTAGTTCAGTAAAAGTCGGGCATTCTGTGTTGACAAATCGAATGATTGAAGAAAACGAAAGCAATCGTTTCAGCATTTTGTGTCTCTATGAGTTCTGCCCCGGCTGCTTTCGTGAACTGGTCTACCATAGCCATGATATAGCTATTCCTCCTCTTAGTGGGTGGTAGGTGATTCATGATGTCCATCCCTGCTCTTTCCACTTCTAACCTTGTGGGCATATGTTGCAGTGGTGCGATCGCTGTGAAGTGAAGCCCTTTTAAATTACTGCGAGTAATACAGGTTTAGTCGACATCAAGTTGGTCCAGAGATGATTGCAGGCCACTGGTACGTTTTGCTCGAGGCGTCTAGCATTTCCTTTTCTCTCACATAGCCTAGTTGCTTGTGCAACTCTTGGAGAACTGCTTGTATTAACGATCCTAAGACCACTAGGCGCTTGAGAGATCCAACACCGTCTTAGTACCATAAAATTTTATCCTCTCGGAGACTTTTGACCATTCTTGCCATATCCATCTAGCCGCCATGCCAGACTAGGTCGTCGCTTCTGCAGTGGGTTGGAAAGAGGCTGTAAAGAACCTCTCGTAAGCTAGAGCCGCGTCGAGATCGGTATTCCGCGTATTTTTTAATGACATTTAGTGGGCTTGCTTAATGCTATGGTAATTACTGCACCACCACCTGCTTCCACATCTGATCCGCAAGATAGAGCGTCTGCGTTACTATGCTGATTCCTTTCCTCCACTTCATTGTGTAATTATGCTGTTGCAGCTCCTTGTACTAGCATGAAACCACCGAACGGTCTACCGCTTTCATTGTTTTCAATCAGGCTAAAGCCTGAGGATCCCATATCACTATGTATCACCTCGCTGTCAGGTAATATCTGAAGTATCGAACCATTATGATTATAAAGAACAGCTTACTTTGTATTGCCCTTTTTATCTCCTTTTTTGTTGGGTCTTATACAACAAAGCGTAATTGATAGCATTTTCTTTCCCTCCTTTGAACTTTTGTAGGCGTGCACCACCCACGGCTACACCGCTAACGTCAGTATCCAGTTACAGGGTTCAAAGGGCATTGTCTGGGATTCATAAAGGAGGCTTTTCTCTCTCTGTTTCGTCCACCTCCAGTTACCAGTATCCTGATTTTAAGTCTGGTGTGGAGAGCCAGTTTGACCCGCGCAGGAAGTCTAACAAGTCGTTGTTGTGGGGTACTATAGGGAATTTTTTCCACTTTACTGCTTTCAGCTTCCTATAGACAGTGCGAAACCGTAGATTTCAGTCGTTCTTTATTAAAACGAACGAGGAGACCCCATGGAGGTTAAGACAACTCTGGTTCATCGACCAGACGGATTACTCCCTCTAGCATAGGAGAAGTTTAGCGTCTGGGTGGCTACCGGATCAATGTGGCTTTGCCGGTACTTCACGGCACTTTCTCTTTCCGGCCTAACACTTTGCTATGCGAACATATTTGCCCACTTAACTAGTAGGTCGCGAAGTTCTTTTCTCTCTTTGTAGATGACGTGAGTAGGCTGCACGCAGAGATCATCTAGGTTGTTAATGGGTATATCAGCGGCCTCGAAAATGGTTTTCAAATATCGTAGATGTCCTCCTTCGGTAGCAAAAGAGCTGTCTTGGCTGCGGCGTGTAGGTGGGCAGATCAGGTACCTTGGGCGGAATCCAGAAGGGTTTTGGTGTGCCATGTAATATGAGTACCAAGAGTTATGTCCCAAGTCAGTTCTAAACCTATCATAAATCCCACAATCCAGGATTTTAGCCTATCGGGATTTTAAATGTCTCCTCTTCCACAACCATCTCCTTTCCTTCTGGTAAACGTGGTACAAAAGACAATGAAATGATCTTAATCTTGTGACAAAAAGTCGAGAAAGCTTTCCGATTCACTATTAATTTGCCGCTCTAGAGTCAAAGAGAAAGTTCCATAAATTTTTTTTCATTTTGTCAGGAGTTTAAAAGAATGAATAGGTGCCATTTGGAAGCAAACGAGGTGGGGAAAAGGAGGAATCGCCTAAATTCTGGGTAAGATGTGAAGGCCCTCTATATGAAGGTTTTGGGTTTAGTCGAATGTTACGGTTGTTGTAGAGCGGTGTTCTAGGCGTTTTCTAGCACCTATTCTTCGAAAACTTCACCAATAGCTGAGGTAGTTGGTGTCTGTGTCGCTAAGTTTCTCAACCATAATGGGTGGGCAGACTCCGTGACTGAACTGGACAGTTATCCATCCTGCGGCTCTGAATGCAGGTAAGCTGCATAAAGCTCGTTCGGCTAAGAGTTGAAGGGTCTTAGCATGGGCTTTATCGTCTTTGCCAACTCTTGTCAGCGATGAGAGAACTCTCTGGAGAGTGTCTGTTCTTCCCGGTAAATGACGGGTTAAGAAAAGGTAGCGTAGCACTCCAACTCGGAGTCTGGGATTATATCAGTGGTTATGGCAGCCAAGTAGAGGTTTTAGGATAAGGCAATAGGATCTGAACGATTTTATGGCCTTGGGGATTGAATCAGAGGCTAAATTCGGCGGTTCCATGCCACCCTCAAAACCTGTCGTTCTTGTAAGGGAAGCCTCCACTGACACTACCACTAATGTATTAGGCTAGACATTTGTCTCCTTCAACTCTGTATTCATGCCCCTGGAACGAGTGAACTGAGCAGGTAGAAACATTCCTCATTGGCAACAGTGAACGGGGCACCATGGTCAGGGCTATGATCGTTCAGAGTTTACTTCTCCTAGGGAAGAGATACCGGCTATTACATTACGAGATTCGTATTCACCTAGAGTCTTTTGCTTGGAAGGTTTGGTCAAACGTATGTATAATTCGTAAACTTCCATGACCTCAATTGTTGATATGAAAATGACCTAAAATTTTGCAGTTTGATCGTGACTTGCAGCTATATCTATGGGTACCTTGCATAGTATCTGGCAGTTTCTTATTATATGATATGTCGGGTCAGCGAATCACTGCTAAAATGTCCAAACTACTCATTATAGATTTCGTTTCTAAATATACACAGTCTAATCCTAACATTAATCAGCGATTCCTATTTCTACTGTTCCATATTGCAGTTACGACTCCTATAAATACCTCCAAAAATATTAAGTCATTATTGCACATCTTTCATCCGAAAAAATAATCAAGAATAAATAACAAAAATAAACTACCTTGACCTCCTATTAATCGTGACTTGATATGTGATTGGTTCAGTGATTGTATTCTGACTGACTCCGGGCCGCATGGATGGTGACTGTGTATTGAATATTAAATCACATGAAAGTGGTGGAGCCAAGGTAGGTTATAATCGTTTTGCAACTTTTAAAGGTTTCATCTGCGCCTATTCCTAAGAAAAACATCTCTTCTAATGTTCCTATTATTCCAAAAGAGCCTTTATCGAATGGAAGGGGCATAAGTGAGGGGAAAATTGGCAGAGCCATAAGAGTAAAGAAGTCGGAATTAGTCAAACAGCTGGCGGAAGAAAATTCACCTCCGAAAAAGAACGTGAATGTGAATGTTAGGACTCGAGGTCTCAAATTTCCAGATGAGTCAATTGCGAAAAATCCTCTTCAAGTTGGTTTATCCGCTAAGCAGCATTCAGAACAGCAGGATTTACTCAATGTAATGAGGTGAGCTTTGTTCTCGCAATCTTAACTTTCTAGTGAGGGCGTTACTCCAAACATTGAATCAGTGTTTTCCAAAACATCATGGGGAAACTTCGGTTCACGATCGAACATACATCCTCGTTTGATATCAATCATCCAAAAGAATTTTCACTTTGAACGACCGACCTCTATTCAGGTGTCTGCGATCAAACACTTACTTGACGGCTGTGACGCCTTGATAAAAGCACAAACAGGTTCTGGCAAGACCGTTGCTTATGCTCTTCCATTGATTCACAATTTGATGGAAACTGAACCACCGATATCTCGAAATGATGGTCCAAAGGCATTAATTATTCTACCTACGCGAGAACTGGCTACTCAGACTGGCTTGGTAATGACTCACTTGTGTCGAGCATGTGTCCGAATCGTCCCGGGCTGTCTCATTGGAGGGGCTAAGCGTAAAGGGGAAAAAGCAAGGTACGTCGCCGCTTCAATAATTCTCCATCAGCCTCAGGAAGGGACTAAATATTATCGTGAGCACTCCACGGCGCCTTCTGGATCATATCAGGAAGACAGCTGTGCTCAGCTTGAAGGGGCTTAGATGGTTAGTGATAGATGAGGCCGATCGGTTAGTTGAACTCGGATTTGAACGCGATGTGAGGCGAATCATCGAACGAGTTACTCGTGAAGTCAGCCGTGAAAGTCCAGTTCAAACAGTACTTCTTTCGGCTACTCTCACACCAGGTAATTTGTTTCACGTTTCCTTAAGCTGTTTTTAATACGAATAGGAGTTGAGACACTGGCTGGATTGGTATTAAAGAATCCCGTAAAATGTGAAGTAGCTGATGACGCAGGTAGCATTTCAAATGAAACAACCAAAGAAGGCAGATCTGTTGCGCCATTTTCAATGCCTTCTAGACTGAAACACTTCTTGCTGGTAGTGCCATGCAAGCAGCGCCTCGTTGCTCTTGCCGCTTTTCTCCTATTAAAAGCCAAGGTAGTTTGCTCAGTACTAATTTCTTGTTATTCACCTCTCATTTTCTAGTGGGTTATGACTACGTTGTTCATGCTTCTATTATAGTACAGCAAACGGTCAGGGAAGTTGATTGTATTCCTAGCTACACAGGATTGTGTGGACTTTCACCACCGTCTGTTCTCCGAAACCCTTTGCAAAGATTCTGATAATGCAGACGGTGCTGAATTCCAGGCTAGTGATCTTCATCTCTATCGCCTTCATGGCAACATGGATCATAAGGTATGCTTGTTCCCTTGTGCTAGTCTGAATTTTTTATTTAATCACAGCAATGTAATTCCAGAGCAGTTAACTGGACAATCAGACGAGGAACAGTACAGTTTTCCCAAACTGCAACTTAGTTCAGGTGACAACTCCTTGCTTCGTAGCGATGCTAAACTTCATATCATTTTAAAGTAAGTGGTGGAATAGGGATTAATTCAGCTAGTCATTGATGGTCGACCAGTTTCTTAGTAGAACATGCACATTGTTCCTAAAACGCTCCTTACTTCTTTGAAGAACGCACAAGCCCCTTGCTGATCAATAGTATTCCTGTTGTTGTCGATGGAAGCTTCAAGCAGAGTACGACCTTCACTTGTACGACCAGCATCCCGTTTATCTTGTTACTTTAGCTGCTTCTCTCGATGGCTACTAACGTTTAAGCATTGGAAGTTCACGTAATTAGCCGATTTTGAGGTTCCGTGTAACTCCAGAAATTTTGTGTACAGAAGTTAAAAGTGTCACAAACAGGCTGATTAGTTGGTCGTTCTAAAAGGTTTTGGTTCAGTGATTGCCCTGGAATGCTCGTACTCTCAGATTCCTTCACACGCCCTCTGATTATGTCGGTTTGTGTCGCAGGAGCGTCAGACGGTGTTCCAGAAGTTCTCCAGTTGCCCCAACGGCATCCTCCTCACCACGGATGTGGCGAGCCGTGGCCTCGATCTGGCGGGGGTGGCGTGGGTGGTGCAGTACCACGTCTCCGGCAGTCCAGTCGACTACGTGCACCGTGTTGGTCGCACCGCCCGTGCGGGTGGTCGTGGTAAGGCGCTGCTGCTACTCCAACCCGAGGAGGAGTCCTACACTCGCATGCTCTCCACTACTGTCGGTCTGCAGCTGCAGAGGCTGAATCTCACCGACGTTCTGCAGACCGCACTCTATCATCTCAGGCACACCAAGGGTGTAGGTATTCCATGGACTTAACCGTGTCTTTTGCTCACCCACTCAGTACTACAGAGCTGATATCTAAAAATCGCATATTGGTAGTATTGCCGTACAAAATTAATCTTCTCTGCGATGAGTCTTACCCCTTTTTGTGGTATCAGAAAGTCAATCCTTTTTAACATTTTGACAACTGTTGTTGGCTTCCTAAAGAATGTCTCAATGCTGACTGATAAGCATTCTATCACGACATCGGAACGGGGAGTCATGCTGATTTGTTAGATTTATCCTATGGAGGCCATCCTGGTGGCAGCATCCCAATTCACCTGCAACAGAATGTTCTGTGGTGATCCCCCACAGAACATCGGGACGTGAAGACAGCAGGCTCCTGTGCTCTGTGCCAACAACTGATCACTGCTGGTAGTTTGTTGTACAAATGCGGTATCAGTGACTGCATTTCTATTCGTGCGTAATATTTTCTTCTCCTTCACACAGCGCCGGGGCGTGAGGACAGTGGAAGAGGCAGCAGCGAGTATGGGGAAGTACTTCTTGCAGATGGTGGATGAGAACGCGGAACTTTTGGCATTGGCGGAACAAGCATACCTATCCTTTCTGCGCGCCTATGCCAGCTTCTCCGGCCCAATGCGCGAACACTTCGTCTTCAAGCGCCTTCACCTTGGCCATGTCGCCTGCGCCTTCTGTCTGCGTGACGCGCCCTCTGACATCGCCTCTCGCGTCACTGGCAAACGACCTCTTGCCAAATCAAACTCTCACCCAGGAATCGCCAATTCCGCCGTTGCTGGTTCTCCGATCGCCAAAAGGTGAGATTTTGACTAATTTTGCGGGAACCATCAGCTGTTAGGTGTTACTACGTGAATTAAGTGTTGCCAACTTGTTTGGGTAATGTTGAGTCAAGACCAGGATTTTGCAAGAATCCACTACGTTTACGCAGTGTCAGAAGTTTTGGGGGTTCGTCCAATCACTGTTGGTAGACAGCGTATCTGTAAGGCATGAAAATTGTCTAAGAGGCTGGCTACTTAATTGACTTTAATCAGTTTGTATTTCACACTTTTGATTTTGTTGATCTATTTTATGAACAGTTGTATTCCCTCAATTTTTGAGCAGCTGTATCGCTTGGGGTGCCAACCGTTGTGTTGTAGGTCGCGACGTTTAGAATTTCTTGAGGAGAATGGAGAGGTGGGTTCTCGATCGACGCAGAAGAAGGAGAAGACGACGAAGAAGAAGCCAAGGCCTGCTGAACTGGCCACACGCAATATGCTTGCCGAGTATGGTCTTTGAATTTGTATGCAATGTAAACTTGTACATGTTTGTAGAATAAAGTCTTGTTAACTGCTCTTGTTTTCTGGGTTACTTGGCGTGATGGGTGAGGTGTTGGGGTGGGGGTCCTGAATGGAGCTTGAGTAACGCACCAGGGTATCTCGAGGTCGTTGCGATGCCTGTGTGTTCGTAGTTGTTCCCTTGTTACTCTCCCTTATGAAAAGGTAGAATGCGTACTTAGTTCATCAAAACGAAAGAAGTATTGAAGAAAAGGCAGGTTTGTTCTAAAGCAGTACGCGCGCATTCATTTATAAATCATCATCCTAAAAAGCTGCCGTCAGAGAACTACCGTCGTATGGAAGAGACAAGTCTCGAATGAAAAGAAGTGAATCGGATTCTCAGATAAGAAGAATCAGTGAAGATTTAGCGCTTTCTCTGACTGCATAGACCTTCCAACTCGTGTGGCCTGTACATCCGCTCTGCGACGTAGCCCCCCAACCCTTTGTACGTTGGTAGGGTCCATTTTTCAAGTCGAGGCACTAAATTGGTGGCAGTGGCAAAAGATTTCGACCAGTACGTACAACTGTCCTGACTTCTGCGGCTAAATACTATACTTTCATGTGGCAGAAAGGGCCATCCACCAAGAATGTTTAAATGTGTAAAGACACCTAGCAGAAGGGCAAAATTGACGCCTACCTATGGCAGACGCCCCAATCTTCATTCAACGTAAAGGCTACTGAAGGCCAAAATGGAACCAGATTCTGTACAAAGATATTAGCTAAGTTAGCATGCGATGCCTCCTTTGCATCTCTGCTAAAACAGTGGTAAGCGGGTGGATAGAGAGTAGATAGCGAGAACTCTGAGCCATGATAGTGGGTGCCCTGCCCTTCTGCGATTGAGTAATACACATTTTCCTTGTTATTCTTGCTTGCTACTACTTTTGGGAAAATTCGGGTTTGTACAAACCGATAATCGACCAAGCCTTCCGGCATTTAAATGAATTCTTAATTACTAGCCCAAAATAAGATTAAACGTCTCTCTTTTTTCACTGCACTAACAGTCCACTTTATTTTAAACCATTTTTTAGGCCTATGAGCAGTTATTTGCTTAATTGGTAAAATTTCATTACTTAGTTTTGTACATATTTTTTGGCTGCTAAACCTCTTATTCATATTGTATCCTAACATTTTAAATAATTCTATTTGCGATACTGGATGATACAACATTGTGTCCATCATTCACCTTCCAATTTACTCTATGTTTAATCCTACCGATGTTACAATAGTACGAGCCTTGTGGTGCCAACTTTAAAATTGTGGGTTCAAAACAGTCTATAGATGTCGAGGGAGGGGCTATTCGACAGAATTGGGAAGCGTTCTACTCTTGAGCTTCCCACTTTTGAACAAGGTACTACTTTGTAGCCTTTACTCTTTCAGTTGTGCAATCGGAGTGTTCAAGTCACCACACTGAGTCCATGATTAGTCGTCCCAGCGATGTAAGCGCTTGTACTATTGCTTATTTGCCAGGCTGATAACTCAACAGCTTGCAATGTGTATTGCGTTACAAGATCGAAGGTCGTAAAAGATGTGGGCGAGACAGGTACGAAGACTACCAAGTAGTGAACTATCATTGAATGGCAACATATGTTGATTTTGTTCACATGCCGTCCACTACATTTGATTTCCCAGCAAATATTATAACTTGACACTATTTTAGGTCCTCAATTTGTCGAACCATCATGTGACAAGGTAACCATTGACTTTTGGTAGCTTTTATTTAACACACTTCTGGAGTGTTTATGCCACATTGTTTTATGTGTTTAGGGGACAGTCAATGTGATCAATTCACGTTTAAGGTCCCGACGTCGGTTAGTTTCAGAAACAAGTATGAGAGCTGGTGCGTCTCTACTTTCTGCACTTCTGCATTTTTGGCAGAATTATTCTATTTGTTCGTAAGCTACTTAAACGTTTCAGGAGAAACATTTGTTGTCAGCCTGAACGATTCTTTGAATATGTCCTCTACCCTATCCCAGGTGGAAGCTGAAAAGAGTAATTTTGCCTTGCACTTTCATCTCATATTCAACCTATTGTTCACGCTGAAGACTCCATCTCACCTCATTTTATAGACGCCGCAAAAAGCAAGGATCGGAATCTCAAACCACAGGCAAATTTGTATTTTTTTTGATGCCCTTTTACTAAGTTTGCTGGTTGCTTTTTGTCTTCTACCTGCTTTGCGTATGCTATTAAATGTTTTTTAGTTTATGCGTCTGATTTTTATTAGCGTGGTAGAAGGAAGCTGCGTTCTCGTCGTAATTTGGTGGATTCTGCGGACGCAACAAACAATGCCACCTTTGAGATAAGCGTCGCACCACTTATAGACACAAGAAATGAAAAAGAGAGTACGCGTCTTGTTCCTTGATAGTTACAAAAGTGTTTATTCTACCATTTCAGTATTTTATATCTCATTTGTGCCTACATTAATTATCGAAGAGCTTTTAGTATTTCACAGTCACAGGTTTCAATTCAAAAGCAGAACTAAGGTCCTTTGGTGAAGTGTGTTTTAATGCCACGCAGTTTAAACAAAGCGGCAGGAGTTGCCTGCAGATCCAGTAAACCTGCTTGTTATGATTTGCTGGAATTTTTCATTTTCGTGATCTCGCACAGTTCCCCATAATTGACTGGTATGCCGTATGGACGCCCTTTGGATGCGCTACTACTCATGATAATGCTTAAGGTCTATCAATACTGTGAGTATGCTAGGCTCATGCAGTCCCCCGACACAGCTTTGAGGATCACGTACTTTCGCTGTACTCCCTTTGCTCATCCATGCCCGTCGGTAATAAAGACATTTGTATGGAAGTCATGTCTACTGACTACCTGGTTAGGATCTCGTCGGGATCCAAATCCAGCTCCTAACAGGTTCCCAATCCACGCTGACAGAAGGCCTCAGTGTTAATTTCATTAGCTCATCCCTCTTTAGTATCTGGTGTCCTTATCGCTGATGCAAATTATGCATTCAATTTCTGTAGGTGTCTCAGAGGTTGCTAGTCGCGGTGCGAACAGACGCGTACGTTTGTTTCCGCTCTTCCTTAATTTCTTAATAGATCTTGCACTTCAATGAGTTACATTTTCTTCGAGCAGGCAATTAAAAAGTTGCGTTCACGACGTAACCTGGTGGACTCTTTGAGTGCAACAGCAGCCAATATCACATTTGAGTTAAGTGTAGCGCAGCTCTCCGAATGGAAAAACGAGGCATTGGGTGAGCATGATTGATTTTGCTCATAGTTTTCCTCTGGAAATAATGCCATCAGGTTAACTGAACCATCTTTTACCTTCTGTTAGCTGCGGCATCAACGGAAGAGGCCTCCAGTGGGTTTATACTTCATATTATTGTTTTGTTAAGTTGCAATGGCTAATCAGCAATAATCATGAATGTAAGAAACCACGAATTAGTCAAATTTCCCCAACTTCAGGGCGGTTAGGAGTTCAGTATTGCTCCTTTCACGCTTCGAACATGTGAAGGCGGTAATTGGGTGGCCCAGCCTATTCAATTTTTGATTACTTTCTCCAAATGTTTTTATGAACTGATTGAGGTGTGAACTTGTTGGGTCTTTTGTTGTTGTGATTTTGTACATGCAGGTATGGGTGCGCTCAAATGCACAGCTGAGTCACCACCACTCGATTCCGGAGCTGTTGCCAGAGCTTTAGAGGGGACAGAAGCAGAAGGTTGTTAGTTTTCTTTTGACGATCATGTACAAGCTTGGCTTGATCCCGACTACTTCATTTGGTTAACTATTCTAGCAAATATTTGCCTCTTCATCAGTAGTATGTAACCTATCTTTCTGTGCGCTGCAGATGAGGCGGAGGGGTTAGGTGCAGCCCTGTCGCATGAAGAATCACCTAATCTGACGAAGAACCAAGGTATGGCAGTTTGACATTCATCTGTGGCTAAATAGAGTGAGTGATTTACTTTAAGTCATTCAATTTTATTTCAGATTCTTCCAAGGGAGGTAGACGCAATTCATTGTCACAGGTGGGTAGTATTTATTACAGCTACGACATAGCTGATCACGTTTACATTGTTTTCACCACTTTGTTATTTAACTAGAGCATGGCGGAGAATTTTGTCCATGTTGAGAACGACGACGCCACGATGGAGATTAGTGTGGCACCACTTCCAGCTGGACTTAACGAGGGGCAAATAGAAGGTAAAGGTCGATGTTTTGTGACCTAGTAATTTCTCACTGTTTAGGTGTGCTCGAGTTTGAAGTCTTTTTTACATGCGAGTAGGTAATCTTGAGTTCGAGTTTTAATGCCGTCTTTTGTAAGGAACTTCATGCCACACACCGTTTTATCACATGCGCGCAAAGCCGCTTGCTTGTCACCTTTGAACTGTGTGTAGACTGGACTGATCGGTTCAGGAAATATGTACAGCTTACTAGCATGTAAATAGATACTACTTGTTACTATGCTTATTGCTACCACTTCGGCGTCCCTCCCCAATGGCGTAGAATTTCAAGTTTTGATTCGACTCTAACTTTCCAAGCAGAAATCGCCGTTTTAAGTGTAAAGGTTTGATTGCTAGCATGGCAACTTCAGAAGATGTAGACGCTCCTCGTATAAAAACGGCGGTTTCTTCGGGTGAAGAAGTTATATCAATGGGTGTTGATAGGCAGATTTGTGCACTTTCGTCATACCCGATGTCTTCGCACTTACTGCAGCATTTGGTCATGTTCTGAATCCGAAGAGTTGAGAATAGATAAGCTGGTAAAGATCGATGCCTCACGAGGAAGCCGGGAAATTTAACAGGAGACTCTGCCTACCGCAGTTTTGGAACATTCCAGTCCTGGTTGTCAAAAGGCTGAAGTAAACTCAAAGACATTGCATACGAAAGAAGTGAGTTCATCACATGCGGATATCGTTTCAATAGTAGTCGGTGGAACGGATGTTTCTGAGAGGTCTAGATTCGTCTCTTCCAGGAGATAAGCAAATGCCGTTTTAGCATGCCTCAAGTATCGTCTTTCTAATTCGGTAGTTTTAGAGACCGTGAACGTTTTGCATTTACAAGCGGAGATTTTTCCAGACCCAGAGGTTGTAGAAATGGTTGCCGGTGGAGCCGAGGCTCCTGGTAAGTCTATCAACGAATAGATTTTTGTCGTAAGACATTTGCGTTCGCAACCACAGTTGCATATTTCCAATTTCTCAGTTTTGGAACACGTAGATGCCCCACGTTTAGCGGAAGTCGATTATTCGAATGGCCGAACAGATTCGATAGGAGCGAATTTATCCAACGTGGAAGTCGATTCGGTGCCGGTCATTGGGATCAAGGCTTCTGGTATTATCAATTTCTGTTAATAATTGCTTATACCTTGCATTTCCCAATCTCCATTTGAATGTATTATCGTGATTCTGAGCAATAAATTAGTTACTTTTCCCAGTTTTTTGCGGAATTCACATCCCCAGTTGAAACAAAACACTGGCGTAGAAACAGCTTCAGTATTCGGCTGAGGAGCATCGGTGTGTTGTGAAGCCAAAAGATTATTTATCTGATTATCTCGACTTTGGTTTGAAGTGCAGAGTAGTTGTAAAACTTACTATTTACTTCTGGATGTCTAATAGCTATGGATGGATTCTTAGAGTCATGAGTTAATGAGCCAGTTAAGTCCTTTTCCATGATCTTAAAATTTATTATTTATGTTGGTCTCAGCCTCCTTCAGAGCCATAATATTATGAGTCTTCGTTTTTATCATCATCAGATACTGTGGTGTCGACTCCGTCAGCTGAACCCTCACCCGTTGGTGACGCATCCATGGCCATTTCGATGTCAGAGGTTTCTGGCGCGTCGGTTACTGTGGCGGCGATTCAGACCCCTGCGATCATGCCTTCTATTTGTGCCATCCCAACGGATTTTTCAACTATGGAGGCTTTCAGTTAGTTATAAAGACATTTCATTCAAAAACAAAATTTAATGTCTTTATTCACTTCATGGGTTTTCTCAACCACAGCTGCTGCGGAGGCGCCTTCTAACTCAGCAGTTTCAAGAAATGAGCAGGAGAACGGCGACGTCACACGACATCCAGGTTGATTCTACCAGCATTAATATGCAGGCTTATGCGCTGTAATGGACTTAAATTTTATTTAGTGAATTGCATTTCAGTTGAACATCAACCCGAAGCCCTACTCCTCTGTGAAGACGTTTCAATGGTAGTCAGCAATCTAGAAGTATCTGGTAAGTTGGCTGGTCTATCTGGTGCTTGGTGATGGATTTCCGGAAGAAGTCCTTGTATGTATTTTTTCCCCACTTTTTATTCAGTCATTGACGAACCGAATCCACCACCTGCATTAAAGGAAATTGATGATGAAGTCGCTTTAATGCTTGTCAAATCAAGTATATCTGGCAAGTCTGAGAAAATAGGTTTCAGTTTTTCTGGTTTCTATTTTTATACCTCCAGTATGAGGTCTTATTAGAATTTTCCAAAAAATCCGCAATCCTTCGATGAAGCTTGGGGTTGAAAATGAGTTATTTATTCTGCATTTTTAGGTGTAGGTGCGGATACACAATTTATTGAGGACGAACCCACGGAGGAAAAGGTGATTTCCATGGTAGTGAGTCAGATGGACGTTTCAGGTAGATACTTATTCATCCAAGACTTCGTCCTCTGTAGTTGGACATCTTTGACTCTCACAAATTTCGCCCCAATTTTAGCCTCTGTAGTCGACTCTGTGGTGTCTATGGTTGCCAAAGAGGTAATGGTCTGTTATTTGGACATCATTTCGATTATGTTGTTTGGTTTCTTGATTGTAAACGCTCTTTCTTCACCTTCTTGAAGGCGCCAAAGCGAAAGGTGACTTATGCTGGACGTTGGGCCACAAATAACGTTGATGGTTGGTTTCATTTTACCGCCTATGACGCACATTTCGTAGATTCCATGTTACGGATAGATTTCGCCAAAGATTCAACACGAACGAGAGAGGTCGCACCACGTATGTTTGGTCCATGGATTTCCATTTCCTCCCTATTTGAAACGTCACGGAAGTGAATCGTGTTTGATTTTTTCTTCAGATGACCAGGTTCTACCAACGGCGGGATTGTTATCTGAACCGGAGGCTGATGTCCAAATCATTGAAGCACAAGATCCCAGAGGTAGTATCTTGGTCTGACTACCCCTTCATAAAATGTTTATTAGAGGGCGAAATCCTTGTGGTTCACTTGCTATTCCTAATGGCTTTTTGTTCAATGCTTTCAGCATTCAGAGCAGACTCTTCAGTAATGGTTAGCAGGCCAGAAGCTCCTGGTAAGGCCGCAACTGTTAATTATTCTTTCGTTTGAATAAGTGACAAAAAACTAAGTCGTTTGTATTGTTTCAGCCACAGATGAAAGGAGCTCCTCGGGTGAGGTAAATGCGGGTAATGCCTGCCCCGAGGAGGCGGCTGATGTCAGATCCCAAGTCGGTGGTAATTCCACGGGTTGATTTTCTCATCGTCAAGTTAACCTCTTATTATTTGCATACCTTGACTCTTTAGCTCCTACCGACTCCAACTGTCCGCACCCAGCCGCGGAATCCGAGCTCTCTGATACTGGTGTTGGTGGTGATGGTGAGGTCGAGGTCGCTTCATTGGCTATCAGCAAGTCAATTGTCCCTGGTATGCGCAATGTTGTTTTTCTTACTCCTTTTCTGCCTATTTACCTATAAAAAACCAAGTCGACTTTTGTATGACCTGGTCTATTGGCGAAGCCCTAAACCGTTCACTGGCTGCTGCTGTTAGCGCAAGGAATTATCTTATGGAGTGTTAGTAGAAGTTTTAAAGATTTACCTGATTTTGTGTTAGCAAATCAAAGCAAAATACGTGACTAGATTGAAACAGTATGAAATATGTAATCAGCAATGTAAGGGAGAATCGCCATGATTTATTTGTAGACGTGGTTGTGGTCGGGCACGCGGCTGAGTTTGCGCCCGCCCCTGAAGCTGTGGTAAATGTCTCAAGTCAGACGCAAGCCGAAGGTATGACATGAATATCACTTTTTTTCCCATTTTGCTTCATATTTCACTTCAAGTGAGATCGGTTATATGAAAGACTTTATGCAATTATCGTTGCAATAGCTTGCTTGGTGAAATGTGGAATACTTTGCTGATGATTTAGGTGCAACTTTGTTGGAAGAAAAATTCCAAAACCAGCCCAAAGTACAAGGTGAGGCGGTCCCGGACACTAACTTTACAGGAAGCAGGAGCAGTTCAGACTCACCGGTAAATGAGATTTCCTGCGCACCTGACTCCACTAAATTTCTTATCATTTAATTTCAAGTGGTTTTAATATTATAAGGGTAAAAAGAGGAGTTTGCGCTCTCGTCGCCTTTTGGTAAACTCCGTGGATGCGGTGGATGACAATGTCACCATGGAGATAAGTGTGGCATCGCTTGCGGGCAAAAGAAGTGTTGAAGGAAGGGAGGGTGAAGGTATGTCAAATTTCCTATTGCTAAGGCATAATCAATGCTGCTAGTGTGGAACAATGGAGTGAGCTTAATTTTGTGTGCAAGGGAGCACTTTTCTTACGTATTTTAAATCTGTTTGCACCCTGTTGAATAAGATAAAACGACTTCTTTGCAATGTGCATGCAGGTGACAATGCGACCGCACATGAGGCTGAACCATCACGAGTGGAGGAGGCTGTTGCCGATGCCTCAAGTCAAACAGAAGTCGAAGGTACTGTATCCTCTCTCACATTGTCGTAACATTTCTCATTCATCCGAACTAAATGGTTTAATATTGCATTGAAGGGAACATCAGTTTTTAAAATTGTGGGGTTTTTTTTGTGAGAAAATCAAGGCTAAATAGGTGAGTTTGCATCTATTCCTAAGGAAGTGACTTAACTAGTTGGGAATATGATATAAAATGTATAATTGGCAAAATGAGAGGGGAGTTTTGCAACTTGTAGATATGGCCGTGGATGAGCAGGCGGCTGAGTCTACACCTGCTGCTGAAGATGTTACGAATGTTCCAAGTGAGACGCAAACCGAAGGTATGCCATTGACATTTTAGCTCCTATTTTTTCTTACTTTATACTTCACTCAAGGTGAGATTAGTTACTTGAAGGAATTGACGTGGGTGCACTTTTAATACTTTGCTGCTGATTTAGATGCATCTCTGCTACAAGAACAATCAGTAAACCAGTCCAAAGTACAAGGTGAGGCGCCTTTAAACATTTCTGTTTCAGCTTCCCTGTTTTTAGGCTTTCGTATCCAATGTAAGCTTGTCTTTTCACCTTACAGGCATCTCTACGGAAAGCAAGAGC